TAGTCAAAACAATCTTGGGAGAAAAAGGACAAAGTAGAAAGTCTCAATGCCTTCAACGTCAAAATTTGCTATAAGGCAACAGTAACCCAGACAGTGTGGTACTGGTACAAGGAAAGACATATATACATATATCAGTGGAGGAGAACTGAGGGTCTAGAAATAAAACCACATTCTATGATCAAATTTGACAAGAATACTAAGATCATACAATGAGAAAAGAATGAGAAAAATGAAAAACCACATGCAAAATAATGAAGTTAGACCCTTACCTCAAACCATATACAAAAATTAACTCAAAATACATCAAAGACCTGGGGCACCTCAGTGGCTCAGTTGATTAAGTGTCCAACTCTTGATCTTGGCTCAGGTCATAATCTCATGGTTTGCTTTGTAAGTTTGAGCTCCATGCTGACAGCACGGAACCTGCTTGAGATCCTCTCTCTGTCTCTCTGCCCCTTCCCTGTTTGTGCACTTCCTCTCAAAAATAAATAAAACATTTAAATAAATAAATAAATAAATGCCAGGTCACTGTAACTTTATATCAGTGAATTGTATGCCAAGTGAACTGTATTTCAATAAAGCTTTTATTTCCTTTTTTTAATTTTTTTTTTTTTTTTAGAGAGAGAGAGTAAGGGTTGAAGGGCAGAGGGAGAGAAAGTGAGAGAGAGTGAGAGAGAGAGAGAGAGAGAGGAAGGGAGATGGGGAGGGAGGGAGAGAATCTTAAGCAGGCTCCACGCTCAGTGTGGAGCCCAATGTGGGGCTTGATCCCATGACCACAGAATTATGATCTGAGCTGAAATCAAGAGCTGGACACTCAACTGACTGTGCCACACAGGCACACTTAATCAAGCTTTTTTAAAAAAGAGTTAATCTTTAGGAAAGTAGTAAGAATGCATTCGTTTCTACGCAATGCTTTTATAAAATTTTTTTTTTTTCAACATTTATTTATTTTTTTTGGGACAGAGAGAGACAGAGCATGAATGGGGGAGGGGCAGAGAGAGAGGGAGACACAGAATCGGAAATAGGCTCCAGGCCCTGAGCCATCAGCCCAGAGCCCGACTGCAAATCCAACCACGGACTCATGATCGCGGATCTGGCTGGAAGTCGATCGCTAACCGACTGTTTACCCAGGCTTCTACACAATGCTTTTATTATCAGTTTCTTTGTAAGTAGAGAGCAACTTTTGAGACAATGACTTTTAAGGGGAACCTGGGCAGCTCAGTCAGCTAAGTGACCAACTCTTGATTTCAGCTCAGGTCATTATCTCACAGTCTGTGAGCCCCACGTCAGGCACCATGCTGACAGCACGGAACCTACTTTAGATTCTCTCTCCCTTTCCCTCTGCTCCTTACCCACTCATGCTCTCTCTCTCTCAAAATAAATAAACATAAAAATTAAATTAAATTAAATTAAATTAAATTAAAATAAATTAAATTCATACATATATACACAATGTATATAAATAAGAATCCCTTCAAATTAATTTAAAAGAAAAACACTTATTCCAACAATTCTCCCAATGCATGAAACACCTCTGCAATGTTTTGCATGCATTTAGAAATGCCATCAGAGTATACTGCACAGTCCTTTGAATATATTCTATAGTAGAGACTCTGGATCTGATGTTTTTTTAATAACCAAAATTTATGAAGAGTGGAATCTAATAAAAAACTAGTAATAACATTTTTAAAATCGAATACAAATTAATAATTCTCTATCCTGTTATCCTGGTTTATTTTCTTTATAGCAATTTTCAGTCTAATAATTATAGTATGTATTTATTACCTGTCTGCCCACTAGCATGTAATAGAAATTTATGTACCCATTGCTGTATCACCAGTGCCTGAAAGAGAACCCATTAGAAAGTCAGTAAATACTGATCAACTAAACTCTCAAAAACCTACTTAGAAGGACAACACTCCTTTTTAAGAATGTACAGCTAGTCCTATAATTTTATAGTACATCATGTATAATTTAGAAATTCTTAAATTTAGCTGATAAGGCACATAAAATTAAGAACTATTCACTCCCATGTTCTTTTCTTTTTAATTTTTTTTTAATGTTTATTTATTTTTGAGAGAGAGAGAGAGCATGAAAGTGGGTAAGGAGCAGAGGGAAGGGAGAGAGAGAATCTAAAGTAGGTTCCGTGCTGTCAGCATGGTGCCTGGCAGTGGGAGACTCCTGAGACTGTGAGATCATGACCTGAGCCGAAGTCGGATGCTTAACCAACTGAGCCACCCAGGCATCCCTGTACACTCCCATCTTCTACTCAAACTTTGAGGCAATATAAAAAGAACTGACAAATCCTAAGTTTTAGGTGGAAACTATTATAGTCCTTAATTCAAAGGGACTGGAATTCAAACACTCTTCAGTAAGATAACTCTTAAAGAAACCTAGCTACACTGACAAAGAATTCTGACACTCAAATGATTTCACACTACTGAAATGCAGGAAATATTTCCATCCATATTTGTAAAAATACTATTTTATACCAAAATCATAATGTATAATTTGATAATCAATATATAGTTAATTTAAACCTCAAAAGGCCCCTTCATTCAATGTTTAAGGGGAAACAAATCAATTTTAAAAACCACTGACAGAAGTATCAAACTTACCGGGTCAACAGTAGGCAAAACGTCTTTCTTCTCCAGGCTATCAACTTCATCTTCATCTGTGCTGTATTCTTCCATTGTTTCACCACTCACAAAGTGGATGACTCTCCTCGGGACTTTCTTCTTTTTTCCTATGACTCCGAGTTCTACATTTTCAAAGCCTCTTTCACTATTCATCTAATGTCAATAATAAGATAATGAGTTTCAAGTGAGGTTAATCTTTCAAATGGCGAAAAGATTCTTAGTTGCTGTATTGTAGGGAATTAAGAAACATAAACCAATCCTTAAAAGTTTTTTTAAAAGAGGTCACATACACACAAGAGTGTCAGCATAAATGTGGAGTTTAATGAATAATAAAGCAAACACATGCACACTCACTACTGAGGGTAAAAAATAGAACTTAACCAGTAAACGTTCTTGAAGTCAACAGCTAAGAAATCAAGCACTGCACTTCAAGTCATAGCAATTCCAATGCTATATAATATGTGAAGATACTCTGGACTTCACTCATTTAAAGAATAATGCTAATTATGGATTAATGTACAATATCAAAGGAAAATCATATAGATGCACATATACATACAGTAGAGACATAAAATAACAGTTCATGGCAGAGAATTCTACATCTCTGGATTTGGGCTTAGCTATGTGTGGGCAAAACAAAACTAGTATAACTTAACTCTGTATCTCTCCTTTACCCAAAAGTTCCTAATTAAAATGCTTTTTAACGCCAACTGGTACCAAAAGTGAGCAAAACTATATAGGGAAGGGTAGACCCTGGGTTGAAAGCATCCCCCATGAAGACATTCAAACTGAAAAAAAATTTTAAACTGTGCAGTCCAAATAAAACTCATTTGTAAATCAAATCTGGAAAACAGGCCATAAGTGTTCTATCTCTAAATTTCCATATTTCTTAGTCAATAATGTATAGATGACAACAGTTTTCCTGATAGTAAAAGGATTTTACCAATTTCAGTACAACAGTGTGTATGGAATTCTAATTACACTCAAATTTCATTCCTAGGGAAATACTAATTTTACTTCACATATATAGCCATGTTCCAAACTCAGAGTAAATGCACATTGTGGGAGAGGACAAGGTTTTTCACTGTCATCTTGCCTCAAGTTTAAACTCCTAAGAAAGGCTTTATTTCATCTCCTTACTAGAATATTTCAAAAAGGCCAGTGCAATTGTGAAGAAAAATCTGGCAAGTGGTTACTCCTAGGGACAGGTACTAAGACAGGGGCAGAGGTTGAGGCAAGGGAGTAGTCAAGGGGGCCTGTTTTTCTTTTTTTGTATTTTGTTGTTTTCTTTGCTTTGTGATGAGACTATGTTCATGTATTACTGATATAATTTTATGACTAAACGAACAAAATGATATAGGACTACAGGACTCCCACGATTAGAGTCCACATTGGTGGGATTCTCTAGAATAGTCCAGAGTTCAAAAATTTTGTCCTCTATAAGGAGTCTTACACTTGTATATATGACCAAACAATTTAAAACCATGAATGTTGTTCGACCAACAGGAAAATTCTTTGAACTGCAGTTGCAGAGATGGGATTATACTGATAAAAATAGTGGACTAGAACTGCCCAGTTATATAAATATAAGTAACTTTACTTTTGCATTATTTCCTCTAATCCTCTAAGTTCCTTCTTCGAAAAAATATATGGCCTCTTTGTTCTTCACTTCCCAAAGGTAAGTTTAGTCATTAGCCAGGATTTGAACCCAGCTATAACCAACTCAAAGAACACATACATTGCTCCAAGACACACGAAGACATCACTGACAGCATCTACGACTCCTGTACAGTGAACTGAGATCATGAAAATCTTGAGAGCAGGGGCTATCTTTGGATTAACCTGAAAAAACAAAAGCCACAATTCTCCCTACCCTGTCTTGAAGGTTCAAACAAATCCTGGCCCTTAATAAAGGAAGACCAGCCCATTTATTATGTCCACAAACAAAATGGACAACAAATGGTCCACTAGGTTTACCTGGTCCCTAGGCACAGTGAGCCATTCCTACTCAATTTCATTTTTCCCCTTGAAATAAGATTTGGTTTATAGGTGTTCTGATGTCAATATTTCCTTCTGAACCATTACTCAGCTCTGCGGATCCCTTCACAAGCAAGGGAAAGTCAGAGGAGTTGGGTTATATCTCCAGTCATCACACTATCTGGATGGATCTGATGCCAAAGCAATAGTCCCTGTCGGTAGACAGAGCTGAGACCTTTCACAGCACATCACCATGTCCCGTTCCACCCCCATTAGAGCAGAAGCAGCTTCTCACTGCTCCCTCTGGTAATTTCTCATCGGCTTAATTTTTCCTTTCTTAGATAAAGGCAAAGGAGAAGGCGTATCTCTCATTGGCTCAACTACTTTACCTTCCTTCCTTGGACAACTTGAATACATCAAAACATTCTGGCTGGTTCATAACAATTAGTATAAACTTAGCTACTATCTTCATTAGCTGTGACTCTTGGCAATATTCCTTCCAAAAGATTTTTTAAAACCTGCAAAGGTGAAGGCTGAAACATGATTCATATTTTTCATTCCAACACCGAGGTTAAGTTTAAACAAAACTTTGAGTAATATTCTCTACACACAATATAGAATTAAAAATGGCATTTTAGGGGCGCCTGGGTGGCGCAGTCGGTTAAGCGTCCGACTTCAGCCAGGTCACGATCTCACGGTCCGTGAGTTCGAGCCCCGCGTCGGGCTCTGGGCTGATGGCTCAGAGCCTGGAGCCTGTTTCCGATTCTGTGTCTCCCTCTCTCTCTGCCCCTCCCCCGTTCATGCTCTGTCTCTCTCTGTCCCAAAAATGAATAAACTTTAAAAAAAAATAAAAATTAAAAAAAAATGGCATTTTATTTGCTCTAGTAACATTTCATATAAAGATTTTTATTAAAGAGACTTTTATCTAATGGCTTCCTTTTAAAAATTTAATATTAATTTTTGATACAGTAAAACCCAAGTTTTAGGTTTATCTTCTTAAACAGGAATAAGCAAACCTTTTCTGTAAAGGTCAGATGGTAAATATTTTAGGTTCTGCAGGCCATATAGCTTCTATCACAGCTACTCAACTCTGTGAAAGCAGCCATGGACAATACATAATAAATGGGTACAGCTGTGTTCCAAAAAAACTTTATATAGTGGCTAGTGGGAATCTGGCCCATAGGCTATATAGTTTGGTCAACCCATCATCTTAAGGAACGAGAGTGGCAAGTAAAAAAACCTGTGAAAGACAGTTTATGATATGTGATTCCAACCTCTAGGGAAAAAGAAAAGGGGGAACAGTGAAGGGAGGCATTGATGAGTAAAACCAACCAGAAAATGAAAATAGTCTGGTGCAAAATTCCCAACAATTATAAATGAAAGTTATTCTCTGAATTTTGCAAATGTTTCTTTTTTACTGATAAACAATAAACCTCTTAGTAAGAAAAATTTCACTGTCCATAATACAAATTCCATTTTAACAAATTCCAAAGATCCGAAAAAAGAGGTTCCTAACATCAGGAAATTAATAGATGCATTGTCAATTCACATTTTATAGTTAACCAGACTAGACTGTAAATTAACTTATCTAGTTCCTCGGGGCCTGATTTTAACAGCAATTTTCTTTTTACACAGTCTCTTAGCACCAAGAACTTCTTTAAAACATGTACTGCACATCATGGAATTTATTCTGTGTCACCATCCCCAACTAGGTAGCAACATGGAAGTAGGCAGAGTGTGTATCCTTCACTAGATAGTTCCTAGCACATCATAAGTTCTTGGTATCAGATGTGCTACATAAACGAATGTGTAGCACTAAAATTTTCACTCCTTTAATAATATTGAGGCTCAGATTTTGGTTAAAAGTCTAGTCAAAGAACCTGCCTGATAGGATATCACAACAGGTACTGAATGGCCTGATTTGAGGTGAAATTCTAAATACAAAGCCAAGCTCCTATTTCTTACTCCTTTCCCTACACTGCATTTAGAATTTCTCAGTTCAGATAACTGATCAAGGACAGGAGGCTCTCCTTCCACCCAAGTCCCCACTTGGGCCTCTTTGCTCTAAATATGCTCAAAGGCATAGATCTGGGGTTCCCAGAGATGTTTCTGTTTCAGGAATGTGAATGAGAGAGCAAAAAAGGGAAAGTCAGAAAACGGTTTGTATAGTATGAACCTATTTATGTTTAATGCAGAAGAGACTATATATGCATAGGAAATCTCAGAATGATCACAACAGAAACTTACTTTTGGTGAAAGTGAATGTGAGATACTGGCGATGGGGGTATTCTTATGACTTCCTACTTTTTGTTCAACAGCCTCCTTTACTGTTTAGATATTTATTATGTTTCAACCAGGAATCTGAAAATAATATAATATCACTAAACCAAAAAACAAAGAGCCTCTCTTCAAACAATATTTAGCTGATAAATCAATACAGGTATGTTTACTTTGCTATTAGAGTGATTCAAAGCTTGAAGCAGTGATGAAAACAATGATAACAACAGAAGGAAAAACCAAATGAAAATATATCGAACACTACAGACTTAAAGGTCCAGTTCACATGTACCTGTCAGCAACAGGTCTCTACTGAAAATGAAAAGAGGCTCCCTAATCAATTAGTGTTGCCCCTGAATTCCTTCTTGCTGATGACTTTTCTCCTTCTCAAGTAGGAGAAAAACAAGAAATTCCATATAAAAACTAGTATGGAGAAAAGTTTTTGTTCATGCAAACTACGTTCTATACTACAAGAAGCTACACTCGCATTCACGCACTATTCCCTAGGAAACTGTAGTTTGGGGGAAATGTCTTACTAACATTCAGGTGGTGGTTAGTCTCAAACTGAAGCTACCCAAAAAGCTTCATTTCCACTGAAGGTGGAAAGATTTCTACATAGGAGAAACTCGAGATTCTTAATGGCCCACACTGTACTAACAAGCTAGTTTCAGGTGAAACAATTTCTTCATTAGTTTTACTTGGCCAAAGTTCCTAAACTATTCCTTTTTTTTTTTTTTTTTAATAAAAGAACACTTTATTATTTTTCTTAAAGTAGGCTCCACACCCAAAGTGGGGCTTGAACTCACCATCTTGAGATGGAGTTGGATGCTCCACCAGCTGAGCCAGTTAGGCTCCCCTAAACTACTACTTTAAACTATGAAACTGAAAACAAAACAAACCTCCAGACCTTACCTCTCTAAACTTCTGCTGTCCAACACAGTAACCACTAGCCACATGTGGCTAATGCTCCCTTAAAATGAGGATAGCCCAAACTCAGATGTGCAATAGGTCTAAAACACACGCAGGATTCCTAAGCCTTGTACCAAAAAGAACGTAAAATATCTCATTGTTAACTTTCACATTAATTACATATTTAAGTTTTTTGTTAAATTAGGTTAATAAAATATTAATAATATACAAATAAAAATTAAAATTTCTTTTTACTTTTTAAGTAATGGCTACTAGAAAATGTGGCTCCCATTATGCTTCTATTGGGCAGCTCCGAGCCTTAGTTACCCCGCGAGTGAAATGGGGATAACGCCCACATCATGCAGAAGTTATCAGGATTAAGTGAAAGAAAGCCTGTAAACGCTCAGCACATAGTTGCTATTAGCTAACCAAAGGGCACAAACAAGACACTCAGGCGCTTGCACAAGGAGAGGCAGAGAAGTGTCTGAAGCCGCCGTCACCTGGCTTCCAGCTACTCTAAGGACAGCCTTTCGGAGCCACGCCTTCGTTCCTCGCTCGCAGACCCCAAGATGGAATAGCACCCCCGGGAGCCCCCCACAGTCCGCAGAGCTGCCAGCGGAAAGGGTTGGTGAGGGACGCCCTGCTGTGGCGAGGCGTTCGCCCCTTGCCCCAAGCCGGTGCCTTTGGGCAGAGGCGAGGATACCGTGAGGACGAACCCCGAAACGCACCTCCGGCGGGCGGCCTGCTGGGAGGAACACAACACCGGGCAGGCCAAAGAGGGCAGCCGGCGGACGAGGGCTGTCTCCTCTCAGCTAGTCTCTCCTAGCCCCAGCCTCCGCGCCGCCACCTCCCTCGCCGGCCCCACCTACCTGCCGAGTCGATTCCCTGAACGTCGCGGGGGCCGCAGCTCCAGAGGCTCCTACTGCTTCTCCCTCCGCACGGCTCAGAGGCTCCGGGTCCATCGTTGTCACCGCTACAGGGCTGCTGGCGCTGGCAAGATAGAACGTAATGGCCGATAAGCCCATTTCCATTCTCCGCCTCCCCACCCAGGCGCGGACCGAGCCGGCCGTCACGAACTGGCACTCACCGGCAGCGCCGACCTCGCGCCGCGCCCGGCCACGCCAAGGCAGGAGGAGTGGGGCTGCCTTGATGGGTGGGACCTGCCTGAGGGGCGGGGCCGGCCGGCGCCTCGCCCCCCACTCCGGTTTCGCAGACCGCGGCCTGGGCGACTCAGCGACCAGCTCGCGTGGGGCGGAGCGAGGAGGGCCTCCAGCAAAACCGCTTCCGGCCCAGCCCACGTCCGCAGCTCTCGGAGCCGCCGCCTGGCACCACCGGTGACGTCATGCCTCGTACCTGCACCTGGAGCTTGGCCTTGGGGATCCCGGGGCAGCCATGCAGCAGCTGCGTTTTGGGCAGTCACCCTCCCAGATCTTGGTTTCTGCACTTGTAAAACCAAACAGCCTTGTAGTATGCTTCAAAGGTTTGTCAAATAGATTTTAAGATGTACGGCTCATGCTGCATATTCCATACCTAACATGGATGACAGTCTAGCCAAAATACCCGTAAAATAAGAGCCTGAAAGGTAAATTTTGTTTACACTTCTCTGAAATACTTAAGTATAACTAGAGAAAAAGTTAAGTGATATCTGAAGGAGGGCAAAGGGCAGCCCCAAGGTTCCATTTTGACAAATACAAGGCATGTTTTATTATGTTTTAGGAGCGTGTGTGCATGTATAAGGGGATTTTTTCCCATTTTTCCCAATGTTCAACCAAATTAAAGTCATGATTGCACCGATTACAGTATTACTTAAACTAGTTGGAGTATTTCCAGCTAAAATTATTTTTATTGTAGTTTTAGTATGAAAGTTTTCACACAAGGTTTTGTGAATTGTAGAGGTCAAAAATAAAATACATTATTTGGGCCACAGGGAGCGTTATATGATACTTTAAATTCCATTTTTTATGCCAGTCAAAATCCAGAAATACTCTCCAAAGTTATGGCGTAGTGTATCTGTAATTCTACCTGACCCCAACAAGGTCCACACCCCTGTAATCTTAAATATTCCCTTCTCTCTTGTACAAAAATTGTTTTTCCTTACTCTCTGCTTAATATTTTTGTACACTTCTATCCTGCATGTAACTATAACCTAAAAAACCAAAAACCTTAAAGACAAAAGTTGATTATTTGAAAGCCAACATTTTAATAATTGGGAATTCATAATCCATTTTCTGGTAATAAAATCAAGTTAGCTTGTTGCTAAGGTAAACAGGTTTTAGTAATATGATCTGAGGCTGCCTAGTGTCATTAGCAAGGGTTGAGACAGTCCAAAACAGCAAAAACAATCTCTGCAATAAACTGAAAAGAAAAAGAGCCAATTGTTAAAGACCTTATGATTTGGCTTTCATAAACAAGAACAGTTCTGCATTACTTGTATTCAAAATCCCTTTCCTCTTAACGACATCAACGATATTATTTAAAAATTTTGTGGAATGTTTATAAATGCATGATTTTATTTTGCAAATTGGTGATTAAACATCAAATTACAATTTTCACTGCTGAAGCAGGACTTGTGTTCATAGTTTACAAGTGTATTTCTTAGTTAACTGAAAATTCAAAATGCAAGCCATATCCCAATATGAACTGGAAGCATTTCCTAAGAGTTACTTTTTTAACACAAATTAGCATTTGAAGGGCAGTCTATTACAAATGAAGGACTGATAGCAACAGAAAAGCATAGAAATTCTAATGGTTTTATTTTGGGCATTAACATTTTTGTCATTATTCCAGACTGCCATAGGTCAACTAAAAGTGGGCAAACAAAGCAATATGTCAAATCTTTCCTTCATTTACCTTGGTAGTGTAAGTTGTATTATATCACTATGACAAAAAAAACACATCTAGATATTAATATATCTACTTGAAAACATAATTGTGGCCTAAATTTATCACTTAATGGTGCTTATAGATCTAAAAAGGTGTAGTTGGATCCACCTATTTCTCTGAAAAGCTAGGAAAACAAAGCTAAAACTTGATAACCAGGAATGTCCATCAAATAAAACAAGATTTTCTTATGGTTTTATCATAGCTACATACATATTTTAATAGAAAATTTTTTAAGTTATCCCATCCCTCAAATAAGGGATCACTATCAATGACACATAAGAAAAAATAAGGTGGTAAAACGAAAAATGCACTTTAGGTTGATTTTAAGCATAAAAAAAGTTTTAAATCATAGTAGTGGCTTCACTTATGGAGCCCAGATACTGCGCTAAGGACTTTCCTTGTATGAACTCTTCCTCACTTCTAACAGCTGTGAGGTACTACTATAGTTACCAACATTCTACCGATGAGGAGACAAAAGCTTAGAGAGAGTAAGAAACTTACTCATGGGGCTCCTAGGTAGCTCAGTCAGTTGAGCATCTGAATCTTGATTTCAGCTCAGGTCATCGATCCCAGGGATGTGGGATCTATCCACACGATGGGCTCCGTGCTGAACGTGGAGCCTGCTTAAGATTGTCTGTCTCTCACTCTCTGACCCTCTTGCCCATGCTCTTACTTTAAAAAAAAAGCAGGGGGTGGAAGGAAGAAAGAAACTTGCTCATGGACACAGCAGGTAAGCAGCCAAGCAAGGATTCAAAGTCAGGCAGTTTGCTTCTGAAGCCTATACTTTTAGCTACTCTGCTCCTCTGGGAAAGAAAATGTCAGAAAATGGGCTATTAGGGGCAGAAAATCCCTACATCAAAGGTGAATGTGATAGATGAAAAGATGTGGAGGCAAATTATCAAAGTGTGTATATTTTTGAAGTCTATTCTAAGATACAGCCATTTGCAAGCCCTATATTTAAGAAACAAATGAAAATACCAAGTGAGCAGGTTTTATCTGATGCCATGTGAGCACATATCTTCTCATTGCAATTTGGTCAGATTTTTTTTGTCTCAAGAATAGACTACTGATATTCAACTAGCAGAATCTTTTATATGGCATTAGTCATAAAATATTAGGTTCTTTGTATACTCTGCCTAAACACAGTAATCTCAATGTTGAAAACTGTACATATTAATCTGAAGTCCGTAGAACACTAGGAGTCTTCTGGCAATAATCAAAAAAACAAGTATAAAGCTGTAATAAGGATTGCAACGGGGCACCTGGGTGGCCCAGTCACTTAAGCGTCTGACTCTAGATTTTGGCTCAGGTCATGGTATCATAGTTGATGAAATGGAGCCCCACATCAGCCTCCGTGTTGGCAGTGTGGAACCTGCTTAGGATTCTTTCTCTCTCTCTCCCCCTCTTCCTCCCTCTCTGTCTCTCTCCTCTCCCTTCCCCTTCCCAGCTCTCTTTCAAAATAAATATAAAAAATAAATAAATAAATAAATAAATAAATAAATAAATAAATAAATAAAAATAGGGACTGCCACAATTAAGGATCTTTCCATGTAACGTACATGATGACTATAGCTAACACTGATATACGATATATAGAAAACTTAATAAATCCTGAATTCTCATCACAAAGAGAAATTTTTTCTCCTTCTTCTTTTTTATTGTACCTACATGAGAAGATGGATGTTAGCTGAACCTATTTTGGTAATCATTTCATAATATGTGTAAATCAAGCTATCATGCTGTAACCTTAAACTTATACAGTGACCTATGTCCATTATTTTTCAAGAAAACTGGGGAAACAAAGATGCCATTTATCTCAGGGCAAGATTATCCACTGTTTCTCTTAACACAGTAAGAAGGAAACTGCAGAAAATCAAGAGACACACATCAACTGAAGGTTTTCACACTTCCTATATTTTGAGTGTGAAGAAACCAGCAGATATTTCTTGCACCACTTCTACCAGAAATGAAATTCTGACCCCCTTAATTGATTTCCCAAAGTCAGAAATTATGGACCCGTGAACATATCCAATAACAACTCTTACCTCTTTTGGGTCACTGAGGAACAAATTTCTCTCATTCAATTATAAAATCATAAAAAGCAAGCAAGCATGGTTCATAAACTATGCAGGTAGGCAGACATTGCATGTTGTCCTCACTGATGCAGACAGGAGACCTATCTCTGTAAAGAAGCTCACAAAACTTTAGCCATGTGTTGCTTAAAAATATACCATAGTCACAGGGTATTACTCCCTTCTGCTTCCCATGAGAAGGTAAAGCCTTTATGCCCCAGTGTCAGAGGAGGTAGGAGATTGTCTAAGGATCAGGTTCATCTGAATTATCCTTGTTACAGGTAGGTACTGCTGTGTAATTACTTGACTGTTTTTCCATTTAGATTCAACTGGTACCAGGAAACGCATTGTTTTAGGCTGAGAGAACCCTGTAAGCCAAATGAAGCTAAAAGATATATGCTTTTCAAATGATAATTTCAGATGGAGAGAAGAAAAGTAATGAGAAAATTGCAGATAGTAGCATAGGCATGCCAAACTCAAAAGAACTTGAGTGGCACCACATGCATATTATCAAAGGAAATACACCATAATCACCAGATTACAAGGTATATTTTCACTTTAAAAGTATCTGGAAATTACCTCATACTCAGTATACCCATATCAGAGATACCAGGTCAGTAGAGACAGGGCCTAGATTCTTGGGTTAGCAACTACTTGACACTGAACACAAAGTTACTCCCCTCTAATTGCAAAGTATGGGAAAAAAACTATCATAGCAAAATTTCACATCACATCAACAACTATTTAACAAAGATAACTCTTAGACTACTCAACTCTCTAGAAGTTAAATTTAAATTAAGCCCCCAACATAGGAGATATAAATTCATCATTCCTGTAACTCATGACTCAAAAGCAAAGAAGATGTTAGGCTCAACTTTAATGCAATGGCTTAACATTGAGAGTATGGTAATTGGATTTTAGAGCAAAATTTTGAAGATGACCACTCCGTTTCGAATCTGGTAAATACAAGCAATGAACAAAATTATCTAAATATGAGGTGTGATGATGGATTTCTAGTTTTGGATATAACTTATTTGGCTTTATTAAAATTATTTCTAGGTTTTAAGGAAGATCAAAAGTTACATACATTTTGTTATTATTTAGCCATGGCTCTCACAGATCTAGTCTTTATTAGAACTTCTTCAAATTCCTTGGTTACTCTGTCATACAAACTATAAAATACTTGCTTTTACCACATACACAAGCATCAAGCTAAAATTCCTTTGCATTTAAATGCTTTTTCCATTTTTTACTGAAATATTTGTATGTACTAAAGCTATATATAAAAGAAATTCAATTTTATTTTTATATTGTGGCTTACTTTTTAAACCCTCTACATTCACTGAAATAAGGTATTAATATTATATGTTCTACCTATATGAATATGCATAATGAGACTTTAGTTCTAGTAAATTTCCTGCTTTTGTTACCTCTGTAGATCAGTATTTATTGACAATATTACATTTCTTTTTAGCTATGTGACACTATACTCAAGATAGTATATTACTGCATGTCAGACCTAGGAACTCTTCTCATTATAATGTACTGTATTTATCTGAACAAAATAATGATTTATATAAGACACTTTGAAATCATTTTTACTACATATGAAAGGTACTTAAATTTTTTCCAATAAATTACTCCATAAAATTGCAATGCATTGTATATACTTACCTTGTATCTTATATGCCAGCAAATACGGTACTTCCAGAAAAATACTGACATCCATCACATGAAATTGCCCACTAATTTGCCCTTTGCTGGTATTATAGTTTGTTGAAATTAATTTCCAAGTTTTTGTTTTATAATTACATAAGCATTGTAAGCTTAGGAACTACACCTAGTTTTATTTTTGTACATATTATAATAAACTTCAGGAAGAATCCAATGTTATACAATAGTAGATCTACGTAGGGGTCTAAGTTGGGAATATAACAGGTACCAAAAAGCTTAGGAACCAATTTTAACAATAGTGAAAAATAAAAGGAAATTTGGTCAAATTATTTATGCTGTCAAACTTACGTTGTTTGCACTTGGACAAAAACCGTGAGAATGGAAGGCTAGCTTTTGCAACTAAAGATGTCAGATTGAGGAATTAATGAAATCAGAAGTTTAGAGAGCATCTCCAGTTCCCTCGTCTTACCAAAGAGGAAATGGAAGCTGAACAGGTGTTCAGCTGTCCTTTGCCACTGTTATTTTTGCTTCTGAAAAATATAATTTGCACCAGACACAAAAAAAACTTAAAAGCAATACCTTAGTCATAAAGTTTGGCCAAGTGTCTCATTTCCTTTTTTGGTCAAAGTGAAAAGTGGTACCCCGAGGACAGAAATCACAAAAATGCTTGCCCAGAAAAGGTGGTATGCATCAGTTTAATTAGAAACTAATTTGGAAAACAGCATTTTCTCATTGTCAAATTTCTATAGCTGGACCTTATGACATTTGTGCAGAGTACAAGATACATCATTTATATAGGGTATACAGTGTTTTATAGGAGTATGCTAATTTTTAGCTGGTAAAAATAATTTAGTGGTATATAAAAAGCTGTGCCCAAGTAAACAAGAAAATCTGTTGCACTCTTTTTGTAATTATTTTTAAAAGATACTTTGGCTTATAAGACCTTTTTGAAACGCTTGAATCATAAAAAATTAATACTATAAAAATATCCTCTCCTACTACTACAAATCAATCCTGTGCTGAAGATCAATTCACTATAGCTCAAAATACACAACTATACCATATCTAGTCTTCATGATCAACAATGAATAAGTATAATAATTATTCTAGTATTTTTAATTTCATAACTTATTTAAAAGCCACTTTTCTAAATGTACTATGCAGCAATCCAAAGTAACCAACAACCAGATCAACCTTGTCATGGTCTCATTATTTTTAATATGTATTAACAGCCTAATATATGCAATTATTTTCCCATTAGGAGGTCTATACATTAACTATTAACAAAGTACATCAGTTTCATCAAACAGATTTTTTTGGTGTGTAAGAAACAAAATTGGCTTTTCAAAAAAAAACCAAATATTGTCATTAAGTCTTCAAAAATATGAGATAAGAAAATGGAAGCTATATACAAAACATTATATTGTAAACTAACCAAATTCACAATTTCAATTTAAATGGCAGGCCTAAGATTTGTATGGCAAAATTACCGTAATTATTCTAAGTTAAACAAAAATCCCTAATACTAATGGTTAAATTATTCTATGATATCTCCAATTAAAGGTATACATGTAGGACTAGCTTTAAGTGACATAGCAATTGGTTTTTCTGTCTGCCTTTTAATGTGATACATTGATAAATTTAAATCATAAGAAAGTTAACAACCCCTTAATTTATAACGAGTTTGAAGTTTATTTTACAGCACTTTTATTGAGACATCATGTAACTACTGACCAGGACTGTTTACAAATGTAATGCTTGGCCTTTGAGACAATTAAAAACTTTTAAGTACTAAATTTTACATCATGATTTGTTTAACTTAAGAAGTATTATGGTGGTGAACACTAACAGAAGAAAATCTAAAGCAAAAATAGAATGATTTCCACAAAAACTATATATTCCTCCCTTATATCAAAGGGAAGGAGAAAAGAAGGAAGGAAGAAGAAAAGGAGGGGGAAAAAAGATGAGAAGAAGAAAAAGAGCAAGACAGGCAAGAAAAATACTTTTTTTTTTCCTGTTTGCAAAAAGGAGGGAAACTCTGAGGTCTCAGCAAATAATGTAATCAACTGAGTCAGTTTATATTAAGGCATCTTCTTTACATATTATTGAATCCCATCATGCCTTTCATATTGCCAGCAGCACCCTGTTGAAACTGCCTCATCATTGACTGAAGTCCTGCCATACCACCTAGAGTGAAAGTAGAGTAAATTCAGATAATTATTATGCAGAACTTGAAACATTACTTTTGCCTAAGAAGTACTTTAACTTCTAAAAATTTACTGGGATCTGACTGCAATTTGGTCATCAGCCTTAAAGAACAAACCAATTAAAATTTTGTATTATCACCAATATCCTTATCTGTAAAACAGAATGAATAACATATCTCATCAAGTTATAAGGAATAAATGAGATAATATATGAAAGGATCTTAGAACAATACCTGGTACACAATAGGAAGTCAATAAAACTAAACAAAAAAATTTTTTCTGGGAAGTCCAAAAGACTCTTGTTGTAAATCACGACCAATTCAGGGGAGCAGAGGAGTTGTTTCATAGGACTTACAGGAAGAAAAGAATTTACCATTTATTGAACATCTGTATGCCCAGAACTGTACTAAATGCTTTCATATATATTAGCTCACAATGTCCTGATGAGCTATTATCTGTGATTTTACAAAAGAGGAAAGTGAGTTTCAGAAAGTTTAAGGAACTTTTCATAGGTCACATGGCAAAAGTATAACTGGGTTTCAGAATCCTTATATAATTTCAAAGTCTCCTCATTGAAAATACCCAGATTCCAAACTAGGGCAAAAGGTCTTCAAACATTAACAGAAGATGATTAAGTATCTTGCTCAAAAATCACACCAATGGAGCGCCTGGGTGGCTCAGTCAGTTAAGCATCCGACTCGGCTCAGGATATGATCTCACGGTTTGTGAGTTTGAGCCCCGCATCGGGCTCTGTGCTAACAGCTCGGGGCCTGGAGCCTGCTTCTGATTCTGTGTCTCCCTCCCCTCAGCTCCTCCCCTGCTCACACTCCGTCCCTCTCTCAAAAATAAAGATAAAAAAAAAAAAAATCACACCGATGGCAGCAGAAGAATAAATAAAACCTCTGTTATATAGCACTATTACAACCATTCAACTTAGAATTCAGATGGCCATTTCCCTAAACCATACATCTTTGAACAGATTTTCATAGTATCACAACAGAAGGCTTATTAAAACTCAACCTTTATAAATTAAAACTGTATGTTATAAACTGGCAACAATTTTATATTTACCCATGTGATGCAGAACTCTTGGATCCATCATTTTGGCCATTTGTTGATTCAATTTTGCCATCTGTGACTGACTCACATTCTTAGACATGTCACCACCTGAAAAAAAATAAAAAGGTTTTGAGTCAATGTAGAATGTAAGAATGTAATATAATCAGGGTATCAAAGAAAATTTTATGAATTGAGTAAAATTTTTAAACAATCACCCATAACCTTAGGTATTAGGTTATTACCCTGAACACATTATTTCTATTTATACATATTCCCTTCTAATCTTTATCTCAATTACATACATATTTTTGAGAAAGAACAAAATTCTATATTAAAATTCTATATTAAGGGACATTCAAGGGACTTTTTAAGGGCTATTTTTGTTAAAACTGTATCCAGTGGTTATTAACAGTAAGCTATAACAACAATTGTTTAATAGTCATACGGGAGAATGTTAAACAAAAAACTGACTTTATAGATAAGAGTTAATCAGGAATGAGCCTGGATTGCTGGTAAATGAATATGAAATAATAACTCTGAGAAAGCATGAAGATTTGCATATATCTAAGAAGCTATTAAAAATAATGAAAAGCTTCAGACAAGAGAAAGACAAATAATGCAACTCCATTTACCAATGAATTTCCACACACTTGGTTGAAACTCCACAGGAAAAAAGGAAGCCAATAAAAGAGATGCACTCTGAGGCAAAACAGGAAAGAGCATCCTTTAAGAGAATAGCTGCTGTGGTCTTAAGAGACAGGAAGCAAAAGAGATCATCGATGTAACAATAATGAGTAAGCAGAGCTGCTTCAAGCAAAATTATTTCAAAGGAACATAACTCTGGTGCTTCTCAAAAGTATTTATGAAAATGAGCATCAAAGCTGACTAATCTGAATAAGTTATATGAATTAAGATATATGAATGAAAAATATGTTTTTATAAAACATGGTAAAATCCGTGAAAAATTTTTCATGATTAATAAATGTGTGTAAAACATGAATTCTGTGTCTATTGGTAAACTGTCATATGTATTTGTTTCCGAGGACTTAAAACTTCTAAAAGAATATCAAGAGCTTGGTATGACAAGAATGTGTGCCACATCCACTGCTCATTTCATCTTGATTGTGCCTTTACTGAGTAATCAGTGCTTAGATCTGCAGTTCTATCAAGAATAGTCAGCGTTATTTGGGAAAGATGTTAAACTGACATAATGTGTTTAATAATCACTATCTGAAACAGCATGTGATGTTAGGAATTACAATTTTAAACATGTTAGTCTAACTTTTCTCCCTGCCACAAAAAACAAAATAGAATATAACAAGCATGGAAAATAAGCGTCTAGGACAAAAGGCAGTAAAAACTTCTATACATAATATAGAACAACATAGAAACATAGAAAAAAATTTTAATATAGAAAATATAGAAAAAAATTAGAATAAATTTTAAGAGAGGATTAGGACAGTTGATTAACTCTTTGGAAAAGTAAACATCTTTTTGCTTTATACAGTACACAGCAAAATAAATTTCAGATGGGATAAAGAGTTAAAAACTAAAACCAAAATAGAAAGTATAGGTGGCTATTGTGGTACCAACATGGAGAAGGCTTTTATGAGTATAAAGGAAATCAAAGAAAATGATAAATAGGCTTGGCTACATTAAAAATGAAAGCTTCCTTTCACTAAAAAAAATAAATAAAAGTAAAAGGCAAATGAAAACTGTGTAAAATATTTGCAGACACAAACGAAGCATTTTAAAGAGTTACTACAAAGCAATAGGGGGGGAAATGAGACAAATAAACAAGGAACCTAAGAGGTGATTCACAAAAGAAATTCAAACCAAAAAATGTATGAAGAGATGTTAAACTTGAGTGGTAATTTAAAAAACACATACTGAGAAAACATTTAACCACCAATTGGAAATAATAATTACAAAATTCGTTCAGCATCTACTATGTATCTGATTAAAATAGACAAAATCCCTGGCCTCATGGAAGATGCACAGGAACTGATGCAGGAACTGATACTGATATAGGAGCAAATGGATCAACATAAATAACCATTGCACTAAACGAAGATACAAGCATACCTGGGAGAGTATTCAGTGCTTCAAAGTTATATTTTGAAGAATATTTGACAATACAGAAAAATAGTCATGACGTATCAGAAGAAAGCACTCATTTACCAAATGTTATTTAAAATAAAACCCATAGGATTCTCTGGAGAGAAAAGGTAATGGGTGCTTTAAGATTTTTTTCTTATTCTTTCTTATATGCTCTAAATTGTCTTTAATATATATTACATCATAAAAATAAAGTCATTAAATTTGTTTTTTTTTAAACATTAGTATTTATTACTTTGAATGTGCAAACAGATAAATCACAGATCACATTCAAGAAGTACTTGAATATAACATGAAATTCAGCAGTGTTTGCCAATCCTGGTAGCACTCCTGGCTTTTAATTTCTCACCTTCTTTCTTTACTTTCAATACTAACAAAAGAGGAGTTTGTTACTTTTCTTACCTTTGAAAAGTCCTTTGATACCTCCCATCTTTTTTACCATCTGTGCAAATTTGGTATATTGTGTCAGAAGTTCTTGAACATCTCTAGTCGACACACCTGATCCTCTTGCCACTCTTTGGATTCTTCCTGGTTGTTTACTAAAAACCTTGGCACCATCAGTACTGTCAAGTTCTGTAGACAAGGATTAATTACTATCACTTACATACAATTAACATTCATTATCAAAACAGTTATGTACAAATACCTCACACACACGAAAACAAAATGATGAAGTCACCACCAAATTTAACAAATGTTATTATCATCTGCCATGTTTGCATCTGATTTTTAAAAATTAAACATGGAATATATTCGAAAGAACATTTATAATATTCATAAGCTATGAAAACAATAAAACAGGGGCTCCTAGCTTAGTCGGTTAAGCATCTGACTTGATTTTGGCTCAGGTCATGATCCCATGGTTCCTTCACGGGATGGAGCCCCGCATCAGGCTCTGAACCCACAGGAGGTGCTTGCTTGGGATTTTCTCTCTTCTCTCTCTTTGCCCGTCCACCTGCTCACATGTGCTCTCTCCCAAAATAAATAAATAAACTTTAAAACAAATAAACATGTACTCACCCCACAGTTTAGGTAAAATAGAACATTCTGAAAACCTTTGAAACCCATGTCCACTTTTTCCATATCTCATATCCACCTGCTCCTCAGAGCATATATTAGAAGCATAAGGTGTCTTTCAAAAAAGAAAACTGCTCATTTCTAAATAACTAGTAACACTTAAATCACAAATTTAGGCACTTAAGCAAGTGGAAGTAGGTAGGCTCTACCTATCATCAACAAAATAATGGTTATATTTTTTATAATCAAGTAATTATTATTAGTATTTTAATCCTTTCTATAACATAATGAGTTAATTCCCTCCAGCATTTTTAGTTTTTAATTTATTTTTATTTTTTTAAGAGTAATTTTTTTGGGGCGCCTGGGTGGCGCAGTCGGTTAAGCGATCGGCTTCAGCCAGGTCACGATCTCGCGGTCTGTGAGTTCGGAGGGCCAGCGTCGAACTCTGGGCTGATGGCTCGGAGCCTATTTCGATTCATGTCTCCCTCTCTCTCTACCCTCCTACATGCTCTGTCTCTCTCTGTCCCAAAAATAAATAAAAAAACGTTGAAAAAAAAATTTAAAAAAAAAGAATAATTTTTAGTAAAATTTTAATGTTATTACAGAGAGAGAGAGACAGAGTGCAAACGGGTAAGGGGCAGAGAGAGAGGGAGACAGAATCTGAAGCGGGCTTTAAGCTCTGAGGTGTCAGCACAGAGCCTTACATGGGGCTCGAACTCTAAGCTGTGAAATCACTTCACCTGAGCGAAGTCCAGGACCGCCATGACTAGGCCACAGGGGAGCCCCATTTTTTTAATTTTTAAGTTTATTTATTTTAGAGAGACAGAAAACACATGTGGGAGAGGGGCAGAAAGAGAGGGGGAGAGAGAGAATCCCAAGCAGGCTCTGCACTGTCAGTGGAGAGGCTGATGCTGGGCTCAAACTCACGAACTGTGAGATCATGACCTGAAGAGTCAGGCGATTTAACTGGCTAGGCAACCAAGCCCCACCCCTTCAGCATTTTTATAACTCTATGAGTATGATGTGTATTTCTTCTGGCTTTAGCTGCATACAATCTCAGGAACAGGATGGACTTTAGTCAATATTTCTATTATGTCTTCTAGTCTCTACCCAATAAATGAATCACCTAATTCTCCATCTTAATATCCCCAGGAGAGGTGACCCAGTATCTGAAATACAGTAATCTATGCCATTCTAATGTACCTATAATTATGGAAAATATTTCCAGGGCACCTGGGTGGCTCAGTTGGTTAAGTGTCCGACTCTTGATTTTGGCTCGGGTCACAATCTCATGGTTTGTGAGATCAAACCCCACGTCAGCATGGAGCCTGCTTCAGATTCTCTCTCTCCTTCTGTCTCTGCCCCTTCCACACTCATGCACACGTGCATGCACACATGAGCACTCTCTCAAAATAAATGAATAAACTTTAAAAATAAATACATAATAAAATATAGTAATCTATACCATCCTATTATACCTATAATTATGGAAAATCTTTTCACATATTAAAATGAAGTATGTTTCTATGGCACTTCTTCCTATTTGCATACATGTCTCCTTGTCAGGCACAAAGAATAAGGCTTTCTTTTTTTTTTTTTTTTTTTTTTTTTTTTTTTTTTTTTTTTTTTCAACGTTTATTTATTTTTGGGACAGAGAGAGACAGAGCATGAACGGGGGAGGGGCAGAGAGAGAGGGAGACACAGAATCGGAAACAGGCTCCAGGCTCTGAGCCATCAGCCCAGAGCCCGACGCGGGGCTCGAACTCACGGAGCGCGAGATCGTGACCTGGCTGAAGTCGGACGCTTAACCGACTGCGCCACCCAGGCGCCCCAAGAATAAGGCTTTCAAATATTCTCAAATATTTGAGAATTTGAGAGACTATTTCAAATTCTTGTGAATTTCCTCTAGGTTACAAATAACATTTCCTAAATATATCTTCTAATTTGTCTATGCCCTCTAAGCATATCATCCAGAAGTGAACTGAAATCCAGGTGAAATTTGATTACCAATGAGATATAAATAAAGAGCAACTTGTCTCATAATAAACTTACAGTCATTAAAACCTAAATCCATTTCATAAATGCAGCTTTTAAGCCCCATCTTCACTATAAAATATTTAGGAATATGCATTCTAAGACCTCAAGTGTAGTGAAGAAAAAGACACGCTAATAACAGCATATCATGGTAAGTAACATGATAGATTTAAGCAAATAGCAAAAGGGGACATAATTTAAAGAAGAAAGTCAGGAAAGGCTCCATGCTGATGGTTTCTCTTTAACTGAGTAACAAGGTAACTCTTGTCCTAAAGGACAAGTATGAGGTTAAGTAAAGAAGAGAAAGCAAGGGACATTCTAGGAAGCAGAACATGGATTTCTAGAATAAAAATAGTTTTTTGTAGAGGAAACCAAGCTTGGGTAAGAGCTGAGATTTAGAAAGTTCCAAAAGTAGATAAGGACAAGATTATAAAGAACTTGTAAGCCAGGTTTAAGAGTTTCAAATTCATTATGACAACATTAAAGAGCCACTGAAGGAGTTTGACCCCAGAACTTTCTATGTTTAGAAAGATCATTCTTGTGGCAATGAAGAATACAAACTGAAAAGAGGGATGAAAAAGAGAAAGGGAAATGTTAGGAACCTATGATAGCAATCTAGGTAAGAAATGATGGGTGTAAAAAAAAAAGAGAGAGAAATGATGAGTGTATGAACTAATGTAGGGGATTTAGAGACAAAGAGAAGAGGGAAGATATGAGAAATATTAAGGAAATGGAACTCACTAAATCTAAGATAATGTTAAGGTTCCTATCTATTCCCCTAAAAGTGGTAAAATACTGATAGAAGTAGACTGTTTTAAGTTAAATATGTATGCATACTATAATACCTAAAGCAACCATTAAGAAAACTATTCAGGGGCGCCTGGGTGGCTCAGTCAGTTAAGCATTCAACTGTTGACTTCAGCTCAGGTCATTATCTCATGGTTCCTGACATTGTGCCCCTCATTGGGCTCTGTGCTGACAGCACGGAGCCTGCGTGGGATTCTCTCTGCCCCTCCCCTGCTGGTACTCTGTCTCTCCCTCTCTCAAAATAAATAAATAAACGTGAAAAAAATTTTTAAAAATCAGACAAAATAGGCAAGGGACAATGGAGGACATTACAGACATTATGATAAAAAGGTCAATTCACCAAGAAGACCCAACAATCCTAAATATGTATTGTACCCAACAAAAGAGCTTACCTGACAGAAAACTGACACAAGTAAAAGGAAAAAGTTAGGCACTTCAATACGTTTACCTCTGTCATCAGTTGAACCACTAGATAGAAAATCAGCAAGGAGACAAATCTAGGTTGACCCCAGTTTCTAGCTTAGGTGACTGAGTAAATAGGTATCTATTAGATAGATGAAGCGTCACTCACCAAGGGAGAAAAACTACATTTTGGATCTGTGCCTCAGAAAACTTTCAATTATGTAAATAAAGATGTCTGTCCACCATTTAGTGAGCATCTAGAAAGGAAGTGGTCCAGAGTGTAGACTCTTGAGCCAAAATGCCTGAGTTTGAAGCCCAGTCTCTCTACTCTGTAGCTAGTATCCTTGAACAAATTACTCAGCTTTCCTATATCTCAGTTTCCTAATCTACAAAAGTTACATAATAATGGATTTTAACCCCAGAACTGTCTCTTGAGAGTGACTGTGATAATTAGATGGGTTAATCTATGCAAAGTGCTCAGGACAGTAGCAGGACAGAGTAAATACTCCAATTATGGCTGCAATTGTTAATTCTACATACAAAACTTTTCATGGTGTTAAAGATTCAGAGATGAGAAAGATACAGTCTTATCTGGGTTACTATGAAAGCCTAGAGCCCAGGAAAGAGGTAGAGAATACAAAAAATAATCAGTGAAGCAGTAGAGGAAGCACAGATGTGGATGAATTATTCAAAGAAAATGAGCAGAATGAGAAGAAGCATTGGCAGAGGACAAAACTTGTAGTATGTATTCATTTAAGGGACAGGCTGGGAAAGTAACTGAGTTAACAAGAAAAGTAGGGTAAAAGTGGGGAGATGATATAACAGAAGCCAAGAAAAAAAGGTGATTAACAACAGTCAATGTTGTAAAGGTCAAGAAAAAGACTGAAAAGGATCCACTGGAGCAGCCCAGCAGGTTATTGGAAATCTTAGTATCTATTTCCAAGCAGTGGTAGGGACAGAAGTCAGATTTCACTAGTTTGAGAAAAATACAAACCGTTCTTTGAAGAAGTCTGACTGGAAAGAGAAAAAGAATAAAAAAGCATGAGAGAGAAGTATAGCTCAAAAAACTTAATGTTTATATGCTGATGGGAAAGAAAAGTCAAAAGATGAGAAGAGACTAGAGATCCAGGAAAGAATTGTACTGAAGGAGACCTAAGGTCCTTGAAAAAGCTTGAAGAGTGGTTTGTGGCTGCCACAATCGTATTGGTAAGGTAGCCAATGGTTGAGGAAGTTCAAGGCCAAAAGCCTGTATTTCTTTGTAAATGAAGTCAGAGGTCAAGTGGTAGAGTTAGACCTAAAAACTGTTCGGCATATCTTCTGGGCTGCATCAGAAAGGGTGCTAAAAAACTGGAAAAAAGATAAAGGGGTCATAGTACTATAAATGTTAACAAGCTAAGGATTACATAAAAGACCTGGAAGTATAATGCAGGATTACAGAGAACAGTGTATGTCTTTCTTTCTTCCTTTTAAAAAAAATTTTTTATTTTAGAGAGAGAGTACCCACACGCATGGGAGACAGAGAGGGAGAAAGAGAGACAGAGAGAGAGAGAGAGAGAGAGAGAGAGAGAGAGAGAATCCCAAGCAAGCTCCAGGCTCAGCACAGAGCCCAAGGTGGGGCTTAATCCCATGACCCTGGGATCATGACCTGAGCCAAAATGGAGACTCGGATGCTCAACCAACTGAGCCACTCAGGCACCCGGAGAGCAGTGTATCTCTAGTAAGACTGAAGCCCGAGAGTTTCAGTACAAAATAAGTTTGTAAACATTGCTTAAACTATCTTTCTGACAGATTCCCAATTCATGTTAGTATATGAGAGCACTAAGGAGACTTATAATAAGTAATAGTTTTTTTAGCCCATAATTCCCCCAAATTTATTTGATTACAGAACTCTCCTTTCAAGTTATTTCCATCATCATCATGAAGAGCTAGTGTTCTTTTCATGAAACTCATTTGGAGAACTGTATTAGACATTTCTCTCTCTGATAAAGTCAATCCAGTAATTACAACGCTTTGAGTAAGAGCTTTCAAAGGGCTACAAATCTACCTAACAATCTTTCAATCTAAATTTTTCCCCATCTTATCCACAAGAACACAGTGAATCCACTTGTAAATATTCAGAACATTGTCCTCTAAATCAAGTAGTCTGCCATCTTACCTTGATCATTCATACTATCCATTATCGTCATTAATTTCTTTAGCCTTGCCATTGACTCCTGTTCATTTCCTTTGCTCATAAAATCTGTTCCAAAACCAGGGATCATCCCCTAAAACAGATATATTTAAACATAAAATCAACAACAGCTTGAGATTAAACTGTTCACAATGTTCACATTTAAGTACTCAGCTTTAATTTTGACACTAAGTTTTTAAAGCATTTTTACGCAAATAGCAAAAATAATGAAAGTAAATGCATCTACTCTTTAAAATTTTAATGAAAAACAAAAGAAGATGAAAATAAACAAATTTTTTAGGATAACTAACCAAGATCTGACTGAAGGGGCCCATTTTCATAATATTTTGAAATTGTTCATACATGTCTCGCAACGTAAACTGACCTGAAATATAAATTATTCAGATATATTAGAAGGTGTACATTTCCATTCAATAAAATTAATCTTTTCCTTAGTCATGGGTTCATCCTGAAGCACACTTATAAAACATCTAATCAACAGATATTCCTGAGCAGTTACTCTGGGCAAGATCATAGGATGAATGCAGTACAGGATACACAGATGCATAGACAGATCCTATCCTAGAGAAGTTTACATTCTATCAGAGAAAATGGACAACAACAAACAACAAAAAACACGAAAACGAGGCAGATAAACTCTACCCACTAGGGTGACTAAAATTAAAAAGTGTGACAACACCAAAAGTTAAAGAAGATATGGGGCAAGACATGGAGCAAGCAGAATTCTCATATACTGCTAGTGAGAATGTAAAGTGGCAAAAACACTTTAGAACATCATTCGGCATTTTATAAACAACTTAGCTATCTGTGAACAAGAAAATGGAGAGACTGTGGATGAACTACTACTCAGCAATTAAAGAACAAGCTACAGGCACATGCAACTACATGGATGAATGTCAAAAATATGATGCTGAGTCAAAGGAACCAGGTGGGGGGAAAAAGGAATACTCTAGGATTCCTATACTATGAAGTACTTACTGGCAAGGAGAATAAGCAAGCTTTCTAGATAATGGAAATGTTGTTTCCTGACAGATATGGGTTATTATGCATTTGTCAAAATTGATGGAATGATACCCTTAGGATCTAAGCATTTCATTACATGTAAATTAACTTCAATTAACAATGACAAAAACATCCAGAGTATTTTCTATTTATGTCCTAAAGATATAAATGGAAAAGGTATTTGGTTTTAGCCATTCTGAATTTCAGTGGCAGTACAATATTTTAAAAGAAATGTTACAGCAGGGAGTTAGAAATGCAGAATTAAACAGTGGTAGAAAAAGTTAAGGCTGAAATATTATTTGGTCATTATACATACATGACAATTCAAGCCATGATAACAAAGGAAACTCACTGTCATGGAACCCAAGTGAAGAGTTTGAAAACAAAAGAAAGATAACACTTAAATATTGGGAACCAAGGGAAAAAAGAAAGGTTACTAGTTTTGCCCTTGGTGACCAAAGAAATGAGTAGAATGCTAAGAGCAGAAGCAAAATGCGGACATAAGGAGAGACCTAAGAGTCAAAAAGTAGACTGAGTAGGGATACTTTACCCAGTTTAGTGTGGTAGTGGAAGCAGCGGTAGGACTGTTCAAGATAGAGGAAGGCAGGGGAAAAGAGCCAGGCCATGAGGGACAGATTCATTCATTCAATAAATATTTATTAGAGATCTACTAAGTGTCAGAAACTGCTAGATACTGTAAACATAAAAGGTGAGGAACACAGCTATGAAACTTACCTTCACCTTCAAGCAGGGAAGACAGGTATCTAATAATTGTGATGAATGATACAAAAATTAGAGGGCGCGATGGAAACATAAAGCAGAGAGTTCTCAGTCCAGGGATCAGGTAAAACGTCCCTTTTGAAGAAGGAGAAACTTAAGTATGAGTAGAAGCTGCCCAGTATGGCTGGGGAGAGGAGGGTGGAGGGAGGAAGAAGATACCTAATAGGCAAAGGCACAGAGGAGACAGATAGCAATGTACATTTAAAAGCTGAGAGAAATTCAGCATGATTGGCACACAGAATCCTATGAAGAACAGCATCAAAAATGATGTAGAGGATGTGGGCTAGATGGTAGAGTCATTTTTTTTTAAGGATTTTATTTTTAAGTAATCTCTATACCCAACATGGGGCTCAAGCTCACAAACCCAAGATCAAGTTGCATGGTCCTCCAACTGAGCCAGCCAGCCAGCCTGATGGTAGACTCATGTAAAAACATTCTAAGGCCAAGAGGAAGCCACTGAAAGATTTTGAGAAAGGCAGTAGTAGGATCAGACTTGCATTTTTGAAAGATCATTTTGGCTGCAGTATAAAAAATAGATCCAAGGGGACGAATCCAAGAAACCGGAAGATCTGATAAAAGACAGAATAAGCAATCTGGGCAAGAGGTAAACTTGCATCATTACTGGAGCTGGAGAAGGGAATGGAATGAAGACAGGAGGTAAAATCAGTAGGAAAAGCTGACTGACAGGAAAAGTAATGGGCAGGGTGAGGAAGAAATAAGAGAGTCCATCACAATACTCAAGTTCCTAACTCTGGCAATGAGACAAATGATGTTAACATTCATTGATGGTAACAAGGGGGTGGGAAGTTAGGATGGGAAGATACGGATATGCTGAATTTGAAGTGTCTACAGAATATCCAAGAATGGTCTAATAAACATACAGATAGGAGTCTGAAGCTCCAGAGAAAGAAGGTGACCTAGCATGATCCCTGAAAAACACCAGTATTTAAAACAGGAATAAAGGCATAGGTAACTGACAACATGAGTGAGAAAGAGGAAAGAGGCAGGATAGTATGTGACCATGGAAACTAAAAGTAAGATCATTTTGAGAAAAACAGAATGGTCAATAATAGTATATGTTGAATGCTTCTGATGTGTTAGACATTTTATATATATCAGCTGATTTAATCTTCACAACTCCATGAGGAAGATACTTAGTACTACCTACTTTTTACAGGTAAGGAAATTAAAGTTAAGTAATTTGAAAAAGTTATACAGCTGAAAATAGATCAGATATAAATTCAGGTATGATAGATTTAAGAACTTGATTGAGTTCTTAATCACAACATATATTCTCTATAAGAGTGGTCTTTAATGTGGAGTCAAAAAAAGTGTTTATTAATCTCATTCTTTTAAATTTCCTATATTTTATAATGTAAATAATATACACACACACACATATATATATACACACATTTAATTTACAAGTAAACAGTTTAGAAGAGTGTTCTAACCTATATTTAACCTGTTTTACTTCAAGAAACTCCATTTCAATTTTAATTTTAAGGCAATTTGATTACAAGAAAGAAAATAAAAATACTCAATTCTACAACTGCTCACATATCTGAGATTTAAAATGATTTGCATACAAATCATGTAGAAAATAAACATTTGAAGAACTTTAATAAGAGATTTATCATTTGAAACAAATTAACAGTAGCTTTATCAAAAAGAAATCATGGGAAGACATCTGAGAGCAAATGCTTTTTGCTACTCATATACCATGTTTCAACTTCTCTATAAGCGCTTCATTGTCATCCAACTTCAACTCATTGACTTTATCTATCAGTCCTTCAATGTCACCCATACCTACAAGACCCAAAAAGAGAAAAATTAACAATAGCATATGCTGCTTTACATTATACAAAATACATGCACATAGATAATAACCATGTGAGATAGCAGGTCAGATATTCCTACCATACTTTACAGGTGAGAAAACTGAACCTAGAGTGACAAAGCAGGGACTCCAGCCCAGGGTTCCAAATTCCATGCTCTCTAACTCTATTACCTAGTACAAAAGTTTTACTGCCATTACCCCTGCTATTACCACAACCACATATTTTTGTATTGTGCTCTAAAACTTTTCCTAAAAATTTTCCATTGAGTTGCTCATTCTACCACTCTAACCACAAGAAGCAGAAAACCATCACCCTTACTTTTTACAGGTGAGGGAGATAAATCACGGAAGGTAATGGTTTTCCTGAACTAGTCAATGAGAGGGCAGGATTAAAATCCTAATCCATCCCAAAGATCTATGCTATTTTTCGGAGATTTTTCTATATCCCCTACCAATGTACATACCAAGAAGCTTGCTGATGAAAGGCTGTGTTTTGAAAGGTTCAAAGTCATCTATGTGTTCCCCTGTACCAATGAAAATAATTGGACTTTTTGTGGCAGCAACTCTGCAAAGAAAAAGAAAACATAAAATAATCTCAAAAAGGCAAACAAATTTCTAGCAGATTACAGAGTATTTAGACAAAGGTACACAGTTCAAATTTCTTTTCACCTATTAAAATGGAACTATACCAGAAAGACTCCAAAATTCTGTTTCAATTTAAACTTCTTTTATAGACCATATTAAGTCCACTATTGGAATATATTTTTATTTTATTTTTAATTATTTAAATTTGAGTATATATTGGAATATATTTTATTTTCTTAAATGTTTATTTATTTACTTTGGAGGCAGGGAGGGGCAGAGAGAAGGAGAGAGAGAATCCCATGTAGGCTCTGTACTGTCAGCACAGAGCCTGACACAGTGCTCAATCCCATGAACTGCGAGATCATGTCCCAAGCCAAAATCAAGAGTCGGGTGCTTAATTGACTGAGCCGTCCAGGGGCCCCTTGAATATATTTAAAAAAAAATTTTTTTTAGCATTTATTCATTTTTTGATAGAGCATGAATGGGGGAGGGGCAGACAGAGAGGGAGACAGAATCTGAAGCAAGCTCCAGGCTCTCAAAACTGACAGCACAGAGCCCGATGCAGGGCTTGAACTCCCGGACTGTGAGATCATGACCTGAGCCGAAGTTGGAAGCTCAACCGACTAAGCCACCCCGGTGCCCCACCTTGAATATATTTTTAATGATCAAAAAGAAAGCCATAAATACACTCATACACACACACACACACACGCCCAAGACTTAGGACAACAGCATCAATGGTACTTACGCACTGAGTGCACCACCTCCTTTTGCATGCCCATCAAGTTTTGTCACTATGACCGAGGCTACATCTACTTTATCTTTAAAAGCCTTTGCCTGGGCTTCACAAGCCTGCCCAATGGAGGCATCCATCACATAAACAATGTTATCAGGTTGCTAGAAAATTTAAATGAAAACAATACATATTTTTCCTGCTCTTAAGCAAATTTCATCATTAGAAGCTATAGAAAAATATTTATTATAAATAATTATTCATTCAATCAGTAAATATTTACTGAAGGAATACTATGTATTAGGCACCATTTAGGTCCTGAGACAAAGAGATGAATATGTAAATCCTAGTCCTTATAAGACTTGCATTCTAGTCAAAGGAGACAGATAATAAATGGGCAAGTAAACTTTAAGATGTATGATAATTAAAATGAGATAGAAAGTATGAGTTTTGAGATGTGGGAGGCTTCTTTAGGTGGGGCAGCCAGGGGAGGTCTCTCTGAAGGTAGTAACGTTTTAGCTAAAGTGTGACCTGAATAAAGAGGAAAAAAGTTATGCAAAGATCTGGAGAAATCACATTCTAAGCAAAGGGAATAGCAAAAGTAAATCAGAGGAAAAAACATATAAGAGTATGCACTAAAACCAATATTAATAAAACAGAGGTGAGGCTCTTTCCCTAAGCTCTGCTCAACTAGGTCAAAATAATGGCATGCCTAAAGAAAACCTCACTAGCATTAACCATTAACTAAAGAATCACTGCCAACTCTTCAATGGCAAAACATGGTTTCATGGGCAAAATATGTGCTACAGATTATTTACAAACCGCCTCTCTCTTCTCCCCAGATTATTTCCATCATAATTTTAAAGAGACACTAAATGATGATTAACATTTTTAAGTGCTTCATTTTGAAAATCTTTCAAAATTCATCTCAGGTAAATGTTCCAATTTAAATAATTTACAGAAAGGAAATTCAACAGATATTAAAAGTTAATTCTAAACTTTTGTTTCTTATTTTTTCTTATATGTACTAATAAGATAATTAAGTAAGAAAGGAAATTTTTGATACTTACTTATGAAAATTTCATACCTAGTTAGAGAAAATTAAGTCCTTACCATACAGATATACATACCCAAAATAGAAATAAATTACTTGGAATCTATCATACAGGCAAAAAATAACTTATAAATTTACATGGATCATAAATTCAGTCAGGTTTTGCAATTAAGTTAACCAAAGTCCTTACAATGTTATTAAATTGAAAGCTACTTACTATAGCATTAGCGACTTGAAGCATTTCTTCAAACAAAGAGTCTTCCTGTTTATGGCGGCCACTTGTATCAACAATAATAATTTCAAAATTTTCATTTTTGAATTTGTCCACTCCTTCAGAGGCAATGATAACAGGATCCATTTCTGTATAGCTATTTAACAAGGACAAATGATTTAACAACAACCACAAGAGCAAAACTTATGAATACTAATAATTTGGAAACTGTTTCTACACCTTTAATGCATTCTGAAAAAGTCATAATGATCACAACTGCAATTTAGAATAACAATATCTAATAAATATTAAAAATAGCAAACAAAAAAAAATAAAAATAGCAAACCACTTCTAGAGTATCATCAAGCAATATGCAGTTTTCCAATCACAAAATTCTATGTGATTCTGCCACATGTCTTCTCCGAATGTGTTTTCCTCAGATACTTTTTTTTTTTTTCAACGTTTTTTATTTATTTTGGGACAGAGAGAGACAGAGCATGAACGGGGGAGGGGCAGAGAGAGAGGGAGACACAGAATCGGAAACAGGCTCCAGGCTCTGAGCCATCAGCCCAGAGCCTGACGCGGGGCTCGAACTCACGGAGCGCGAGATCTTGACCTGGCTGAAGTCGGACGCTTAACCGACTGCGCCACCCAGGCGCCCCTCCTCAGATACTTTTTATATTTTCGTAAATAAATGACTGAGTTAGTGTTTCACACGTTTTCCCATGTAACACCCTTTCTTAAGCATTTTATAAAACCATTATTCTTGTAAAACATGACTTTTAGGCTATATAGCATTCCATCATATGGTTATGCAATCATTTCTTGAATAAATGCCCTATTGTTGGTCATCTGAGGTTTTTTTCAATTTCTTGGTATTAAAAACATAGTCAATATGAAGAGTTCATAATGTTGTTTCTTTGAAATTGTGATGACATTCTTACAGCTTGAATTTGTATCAAATGATATGATAATTTACGCTTTTTGTTTCTTCTTTGTTGATTTTGATGGGAGTTCTCTGTGCCTCTTGGATGTGGATGTCTGTTTCCTTCCCCAGATTAGGGAAGTTTTCAGCTATTACTTCCTCAAATAAATTTTCTGGCCCCTTTTCTCTCTCTTCTTCTGGTACTCCTATAACCTGAACGTTATTACATTTGATGGTAGGCTTTTGGCTCCTAAGAGGAAAATGTCTTCCATAAAATTTTAATTTCATTCCTATTTCACTACATTTTCACAATTCTCAAAACTCTTTTCAACTTGAAAATCAAGAAATGAAATCCCAGGGCTCCTGGGTGACTCAATCAATTAAATGTCTGACTTTGGCTCAGGTTGTGATCTCACAGTTCATGAGTTCAAGCCCAGCATTGGGCTCTCTGCTGCCAGCACAAAGCCCACTTCAGATCCTCCATCTCCCTCTATCCCTCTCTCTCTCTCTCTCTCCATCTCAAAAATAAATAAACATTTAAATTAAAGAAAAAAAAAAAGAAACGAAATCCCATTTTAATTTGCACTGTTTTCAGTAGCGGCAACTTCTTATACAGATCAATACTGTCAGATGAAAGGACTTATGTTAAAAAAAGTTTTCCCCCTAAATTAACAATAAAAATCAGGTATGAAGGCATTTGATAAAAATAAGTGTGAGATTTAAATGAAGAAAATTACTATATTTAAGGACATAAAGTTTTTAAAGCAAAAATGACATAGTAGGTTTCTAAGCTAACTATACAAATACAGTAAAGATGTCAACTCTTCACTAAGTTGATTAATTGGTTTCAATGTACTTCCAATCAAAATCTTAAGAGAGATTTTTCTTTTTGGAACTTAATAAGGAATTTTAAAATTTAATCTAGGAAAATAAGCAGGTGAGACTAGGCAAGAGAATGTTGGGAAAAAAATGTCATAAAAAAGAATTACATTAAATAGTATATTATCTATTCCAGAATTATTAAGATCCCATTTTTTTTTGTAAATGTGTTAACGAAGTATAATATATATATAGAAAAGCTGCACAAATTATAAACTCAGTGAATTTTCACAAAGCAAACACACCCAGATCAAAAAACAATAACCAGCACCACACTCCCTCCGAAGAGTAATCACAATCTGGTCATAAGATCTCATTTGTAATTTAAAAAAAAGACCCCACTTGTAATCAACTCTACAGTGGTCTACTGATATACAGGAAGATGCACTATTTTAAATGTTCATTTTGATGAGTTTTGACAAATTTACATATAACCACTACCACAACAATCAAGGTACAAAGCACTGTAACACTCCATTTCAATTTCAAATTATCTTTCTGTGTGGTTGTTTGTACTGACATAGAAAAAAAAGCACAGGTGGACACACTAAAAACTGGTAACTAGGAAGTGAAACTGTTAGTGCTTTCACTTCTTTAAAAGTTTTATGTGAAATAGTTTTTTTTTAACACAGAACAAATGATAATATAACAAACAGTCCTACATGTACCACCCCCTAAAATAAATGCTAATATGTAAATTTAACAGCAGAGATGCAGTTCAAATTCTTCCTCAGTCTCACTCCCTTCAGTCCTCCCAGAGGAAACAATGATACACTAATACTTTACTCCACACATACATGATGTTTCTTAAGTTTACATGAGCAAAGGAGAGATTATTTAATAAATGGTATTGAGATAACTGTTTAAAAATGCTCTGGCTTTGGGGGTCCGTGGGTGGCTCAGTCAGTTAAGCATCCAACTCTTGATTTTGGCTCAGGTCATGATCTCAAAGTTTGTGAGATTGAGCCCTGCATCAGGCTCTGCGCTGACCATGTAGAGCCTGCTTGGGATTCTCTTGCATGCACTTTCTCTCCCTCTCTCTGCCTCCTCCCCTGTTCATGCTCACACGTGCTCGTACACCCTCTCTCTCACAAAATAAATAAGTAAGGGCGCCTGGGTGGCTCAGCCATTTAAGCGTCTGACCCCTGATTTCAGCTCAGGTGAAATCTCACGGTTTGTGAGTTTGAGTCCCATGTGCTGACCATGTGGGGCCTACTTGGGATTCTCTTTCTCTCTTCCTCTTTCTGTCCCTCCCCTCCCTCGCAAAAAAAAAAAAAAAAAAAAGATAAACTTTAAAAGAAAATGGTTTGGCTTTGGCCAATAGTTCAAGTAATTATCAGCTAAATTGTTTACAAATTTTGAACCCTAAAGATAAAATTTTACTATTCCTTGATTTTTAAATCTATATTAGAAACCATTCTTATCCTAAAAAGATAAAATTCCTAACATTATTCTTTAATCTACCTGTAAGACATTATCATAAAAAAACTGAAAGGAGGGGCATCTGGGTGGCTCAGTCGGTTAAGCGGCTGACTTCAGCTCAGGTAATGATCTCGCAGTCAGTGAGTTCAAGCCCTGCGTCGGGCTCTGTGCTGACCGCTCAGAGCCTGGAGCCTGTTTCGGATTCTGTCTCCCTCTCTCTCTGACCCTCCCCCATTCATGCTCTGTCTTTCTCTGTTTCAAAAATAAATAAACGTTAAAAAAAAAATTTTAATAAAAATAAATAAATAAATAAATAAATAAAACTGAAAGGAAAAAAATTTAAATAAAGAATACATGGAAAGCGAAAGTTCGTTCGCATTTCTGGCCAGCCAAAAAGTAGAAGGCAGTGACTAACAAAATGATATCATTCATTTAATTACTTCAAAGTTTAGCTTCTTTAAACTTTCTTTCTAAGGGTATAATAAACCATTTATATTAATAATGTTAAAAAAATGCTATCCTCTCAAAAAGTCCTAAAATCAATCTAGACTTGATTTTTTTCATCAATCATTCTAACATGTATAAACTACCTACCTGAACTACTGTATCAAATGAAGGACAGCAATGATCAGAATCTCTGAGTTAATGACAAATTATAAGCTATTTTAAGATGTTCAAACACAAGTTTTTAAAATTATGTACTAAAGAAACAGTATGGAATTCAGCAGTGTGTATTTAATCGAGGAATGCTTCAGATAGGTCTTAAAAGAAACAACAGGAATAGGGAAGCAAGTCAGAAGGCATGCAAGGCAGGATGGTAAATACAGGCAGAATTATGAACTAAATAATGTCCACTCTGATCTATAAGGCTGGATCAGAAGAGTCATGGTACAATAATAAAAGATAATTTATTAATTATACCCTACTTAGTTCCAGAAAGATTTAAACTTCTAAGTAAATATTAAAAATGTCACAAGATGGCATAAAATAAAAACTTAGAGAAGACATGAGTATCAAAATAAAAACCAGAAACCCACCTTCCATAGAATGGAATTCTTGCTTTGGTAGCATTCTGTTTTAGTTGGTCAAAAGCTCCTATAAAATAAAGAATTAATGAGTTCTCAGACTTGAAAATAAAAATTACAGAGAACGGTTTTCAAATTTCAACACATTACCTGCTCTGAATGTGTCTGCACATATCAAACAGGTCTTCCAACCTTTCCTCTGGTAATAATATGCTAACTGGGAAAATAAGATTTAAAAAATACAATATCAATAAATACAAATTATTATACACAAAATACTTTTGTTTACTCTTGTTATTTACTTAAGGATTGAAGTAAAACTACTCATATTCTCCTGAGAGTAGTAGTATTACATTTTTAACAGTTTTAATTTTAATTTCAGTTAGTTACCAGTATAATATTAGTTTCAGGTGTATAATACAGTGATCCAACACTTCCATACAACACCCGGTGCTGATCACACCAAGCGCATTCCTTAATCCCCATCATCTATTTTGCCCATCACCCCACCTACCTCCCCTTTGATAACCATCAGTTTGTTCTCTATAGTTTAAAGAGTCTGTTTCTTTTTTCTTTAAGTTTCTTTATTTTTGAGAGAGAGAGAGAGCGTGAGCAGGGGAGGGGCAGAGAGAGAGGGAGAGAGAAAGGTAGAATTCCAAGCAGGCTCCGCACTGTCAGTGCAGAGCCTGACACGGGGCTCAATCTCACAAATCATGAGATCATGACCCAAGCCAAAATCAAGAGTTGGACACTTAAACGACTGAGCCACCCAGGCACCCTAAGAGTCTGTTTCTTTGTCTCTCTTTTCTTTTTCCCCTTGCTCACATTTGTTTTGTTTCTTAAGTTCCACATATGAGTGAAATCATATGGTATTTGTCTTTCTCTGACTTATTTCACTTAGCATAATACTCTCTAGCTCCACTCATGTCATTTCATTAATTTTTTTGATGTTTATTTTTGAGAGAGAGAGAAAGACAGAGTGCAAGAGGGACAGAGAGAGAGG